ACGAGGCTCATGGTTTTAGTATTGTTAGGAGCCTAAAGATGCTGTATTTATGCAAAAATAATGGTCCAGTGCTTTACCCCTGATAGAAGAAAGAAAAACTTCACATTACAGATCCGGAGCAATAGCAAATGCCTCAGAAAGAAACCTTGGGAATCCAAGCTGTACATCTGTTCTTATGTATATTTGAGAATGCACACTCCTACATCAGAATGTTCTGTCCTGTGTGGACTGAATTATTTAAGTATAGAATACAAACACACGAGAAACATGAACAGAGCAGACTTTCCAGCTCTTGGACTCGCTCATCAATACATGCAGGGATTCGAGGTCTGTTTTTTCCAGCCCTCTGCAGCCTGATAGTATAATTGAGTCTTTTCTTATTAGAAAAAAAAAATGGAAATCAATTCCAGTTCTAGTGCCTGTGTAACCTGCTGTGCAATCCTCTGAGAAGATATGCAGCCACGACTATTTTACTCCCTTGTATATCTCTGAAATAGAAGGCACCATTCATACAGTGAAAATATTAAGAAAAAAAATCTGCCAGGCTCTACCCAGCTGTTTCACTGCTCACCATCTCTTTCAATCAATGTCCTGCACACTCACACCCGCCTCCCGCCCTCACAGCTACACCAGAGTCATATTTTCAGCTTGGATGTTCCACCAGGATGCCCTCTGAGGCTGCTGTGGATGCCTTCCAAAGCTGCATTTCAGCTGCTTATGGTGGGACTTTAAATGTTGGCTGTCATTGGTCAGTCTTTTCCTTATTTCGTTTATAATGCAGGGATTCAAGGCCTTTTTCCATGTCCAGTGATCATCCACAGCAGTACTACAGGGCTCTTTCCAAACACAGCAGCAACAGCAATAACTTTTTGCAAGTTGAGCTGAATCCCTTAAATTCTAATTTTTAAGAGATGAGAAACAGCATATATGGCAGAGGATAATCACAAGGCTGCTTCCTGTCTGAACATCGCAAACACACTGTGTTAAATGTTGATTTTTGACTTTATCTAACAAAGATTGTGCTAAATTGTCCCTCAGTGCGGTGCCGATTTCTTCTTGGCTTAAGAAAGCAGTGAGCAGTGTTCCCCTCTGCTAATACGAGCCACAAACCTCTCTTTGGCTTCTTGGGCATGACCAAAATGAGAGGGAAAACCAAAAATTTTGCTCGTAGGTGTGAGCTGATGGCCCAAGGCGCTTTTCAAATGAAGGCTCGGTGTGTCCATGAATTCCAGTAGGAGGTGAGACAGACTGATATGTGATTTTTCTGTGTGGTTTTTAGTGTATTTTAGTTGGCAGAGTACAAAAGGACAAAGAAATAAAGCAGAAATAAGGTTACTTATTACTTTACGTTTGTTCTTTCACAACTGGGGAGTCTGACAACAGGCTACTCTACCTTTCTTTTTACATATGCATGAGGGGTACAGCCCAATTCCCTTGATTGTATCCGCGTTTCGGTCAATTGCGTCATTCTCTTGCATCTTATTTCCTCTCATGAAAACACAAGGCAGGAAAAAAAGGAACTGTCTTTTTGTCTGAGCCTTCATCTGAAGCAACGTCCATTTTTTATTTCATTTTTTTACATTTTTGTCTAGTGACAGGGACACAGCTGGTCTGTCCGTCACTCTGATTTCAAAGTACGATGGCAGCTTTTGTTCGTTTAGAACATTGCACAAGTAATGTTACTACCATCAGCGCAGCGGCCACAGCACACGATATTTGAATGTGTTACCTGCACTGCATTTATATTGTGTTTATTTCTGTCAGACTTCACTGGTAGCATAAATAATGGCAACAAATAACTAATTTGAATCAACATTTAAAAAAAAAAAAAAAATTCTCTTTATTATTTCATATTAATCCCAGTTGTAACCTTCATATTTTTTCATTTTTGGGCTAATAAATCAAACTGTCTGTGTAATATTTATGGTAAGTGATTAAAGGCATTGCATAAGAACACTAGGGTAAAAAAAATCTTTATTAAAATGTATGGTTCTTTTGACAGTCAGACCTACAGTTGCATGGTTCTAAATTTAAATGATGAAGTAAATAAAAAAATGCTATTGATGCTGACTTTTCTCTTATTCTTCTATTTTCTCATTTTAATGAGCTGACAAAAGCACTTTCAATGTGGAATGATTTAAGAGTAAAGTGAAGACTGAGTCTGTGGATTTACCTAAATTCTCTTATTTAATTGTTCTCCAAACACTACAAAGACGAGAAGATGCTATTTAATATAATAGAAACCTTGAGAAATGTGCTGGTACAACCCACCACTGTTTAAAGACATTAAAAAAATGCCTTGCAGCGCTGGATGAAGGAGTTGGTTCAGCTTTGTGCAAATCTCGTTTGATGCTTGTTTTGATTCCCACAGGAAACGGAGCTACGCAGGTGTTTTCAAATTCAATTCGGCTAAAGTGCTTCATGCAGAGTGGAGGGAAAGCTGATCGTTGTCATCTGTGGTGTCCCACTTCTTTTTTTGTTTTAATGAGTTTGGTAAGAAATACTGCGCAATGAAAAGATTTAGTAAGGAAACGAACTACTTTAACCACACTGGTGGCAGCAGGAGAAAATACCCGCTCATTTACATCTCTGCATGTAAATGAGGCGTTGAATGCTTTATAAGTTTGCAAGTTACAGTTTATGAGAAGCAAGAGGAAACGCCTCAGTTCAAAAGACTAACGAGTAACGAACATCGTATTGCAGGCACAAACTTTCTGGGTTGATTTGTGTAGATGTCCAAAGCTTTTCCAGATAAATCTGCAATAGTTTTTAGTATTTGAACCCCACTGATACAACTATGTTTCTGCTTGCAGTTCAAATGATAGAGATTTACAGTTGAAGTTGAATTTTGATGCAGTGTAAAAACATTTGTTTTGATTTCTGAAGTTTGAGGGCTGTTCGCGTATTCCACTTTAGTTTCTTAAACTCTGCCTCTCTTTTAAACTCTTTCTAAACAAGTTAAATGATTCCACTGCCACTAATGTCTTTGGGTATCTTATGATGAGGCAAGACTTAAAAAAGGCTGTAGTTCAACAGCACCACCAACATTTCTACACAGGGACTGCACTAAAAGGCATCCAACTTAAAACAATACAACTATGGCAGTAGTTTAATTCAGCATCGTATTTGATGATAAATATTTACACGTATGTAAATCCTAAACAAGGCTTGTGGTCTGTGCACTGACTCACCAGACTGTTAGTTTTTTTTCTTTGTGTGTGTGTACTCTGGCAGTGCTGCTACAAATATTCTGTCTTGGTAAGAGAGTCTTTGAAGCGAAAGAATAAGGTTAGACCAGAAAGCCCTTGAGCAAAAAATGATAAAAAAAAAAATCTAAGAAGCACACAGTGGATGCTGTATTTATTGTATTTCACAGAGAGGGGGAGTGTAAAGAGGATGTGGGGTTGGCATAGGTCTTGGAATATATACTGATTGTATTTCTGGCAGTCTGGAAAGGAAGCAAATGGGTTTTACCTCAGCTCCATTTAAAAAAAAATAAAATTAAAAAAGGAGTTTCCATTCTTTTTAGTGATTTCATGTCTGTTCCAATCTCATTGACACTCCTGTTTGTTAAGTTTTGGATACCCATGTTATTAAAAAAAATTGCCTTCAGTTTCAACTTACTTAATTTAACACTGAGCTCCAGTGTACTGATGTACTGCAGTTCACACTATCACTGGTGTATTACGCAGGTGGAGAGAAGCCTATGGTTCAGTCTTACAAGGTAGGCGAGTGAAATCATCGCAAACATGTGCAATTTTACTTTCTGCCTATGGGGTTGTTCACTTTCTCCATGCTTGTAACTGTGGAATAGCACAGTCCTCCCTGCCTCCCTCTTTGCCTGAATGCATCATTAAGCTGACCAATGCTGTGCTTGATGTAGCTGTGCGGAGGAGAACACACATATAAACAAGCTCCAAGCACCTCTCTAATGCTGTTTGTCTTCTTTATGGCCCATTTTGCACATTGAACATGGATGTGGCTGAATGGAGCTCTATTACGATAATTAACACAGGGGGGCCTGTCAACCTTGGTGCTGTTTGTGGCAATTTTCTGCATTGCTGCCTGTTTTTAGAGTTTGAGGTTTATTAGCTGTATTCTCCCAAAATCTGCTAAGTTGAAGCCAAAATGGCACAAACCCACTTCAACAATGCATAAGCTTCTTCTTCTTTTTTTGCAGCTAAATTCAAACACTGCAGTGCTTTCTAACTCTTTTTAAATTTCAGAAAGGAAATTTTAAAAAAAATGCATCACCTTAAATACTTTTTATGTCTTAACACTCTCTCTCCAGAGCATTGTTTTACTGAGTCCAGTGATCTGCTGTGGTGTGTCAATCTCAGCTCCCTACTGATTCACTGAGTCTAACTTTCTATCAAACACAAGGGGGAGGGGCATCTGTCTGTCACATCTGCTTACTGATACACTTCTATCTGCCCATGTGTCACCAGTTGAAGCGGAGCTGATGCTGGACACAGTAGGGACCATGCACGCTGCAGCCCCCCCCCCCCCCCCCCCCCAATGACAACACAGTCTTTTCTCTCTTATTTCAGTGGTTTGTGAGGCACCCATCTGGCTGCTGCTCAGCTTCACCATATATACTTGTTATATACTTGAGCAATTTGCAGCTTGTCTTTGGCCTCGTGGGCTTAGGTTAGAGATTCAGCGATGCAAGCTGTCATTCAAGTGTGCAGTCACGCTTAAAATAAATGACCGTGGAAGCTTAAGGAAAGTAAAAAACAAACAAAACACGGGATGCCAGCCTTCAAAGAAAGTGCTCCACGCTGATGAGATAACGCAGTGCTGCTGAAGCTCCAGTGTATCAGCAGGGAGTCTAACAAGTTAGTGTAAGTTAACTACATTGCATCTATTTCAAAGTCATGATTTGCTTTACTGATGAAAGGAGATGTGGTCTAAAACGAACTGCTCTTACTCTTGCAGATTTAGCTTCTTTTTAAATTTATTATTATGTTATTAGCCGAGTGTGTCGATATTAAGCTTACCTTTATAAGCTTGCACCTGATCTGTGCGGACACCATGTGGCTGTTCCGTAGGTTGCCCACACGGAACATGAGGCACAGTTTGCCGTCTCGCAGAGAAATCACCGCGTCCTGACTGAACATGAGCGTTTCTGCGCGTTTCTTGGGTTGGGACATTTTTATGAACATACAACCGATGAGAAAAGCGTCCACTATGGAGCCCAGCAGCGATTGGAACAAGAAAAGGATTATGCCTTCCGGGCACTTCTCCGTAATGTACCGGTAGCCGTAACCAATTGTGGCCTCAGTCTCGATGAAGAACAGAAAAGCTGAGGGGAAGTTGTAAACATTGGCCACACAGGGGGTGTAGGATGAGTCGTGGCCATGATTTAAATCTCCTCTGATGTACGCAATGACCCACCACATCGATGCCATGACCAGCCATGCGATGGTGTAAGTTAGGATGAAGATCAGTAGGTTCCATCGCCACTTTAAGTCTACCAAAGTGGTGAACAGGTCAGAGAGGTATCTGCTGGTCTCTCCACCGAGGTTTCCGTGCTGCACATTGCAGCGACCGTTCTTCTCCACGAAACGCTGGCGTTTTTTCTTGACCGGAGCAGAAAAAGATGAAGCCCGATTTGTGTTAACCACCTGATAGTCTTCGCCAAATTTTCTACGAAGTGCCGCCATTTCAGCTCTGCTGAAGAAAGTGGGGGAAAATACTTGCAGTTTAATCCATGCTTTGGTTGTTTTGGCCTCCAAAACACTGGTTACCTGTAGTGCGTAAAATGCGCCATGGCCACTTTAGCGCGCACATGAAATCCTATGAATAAAAAAAAAGAATCGTGCGTATTTCAGTGCTTTTAAAGCACAGTCATCATCCTCTCAGATAAAAATTTCCACTGTTCTGCCAGTTACTTTACATGACATCTGAGGATCGCTGACTGTAGCTGTGCGCTCTGCTCAGCCTCCCCACACTCTAACTGGTGTGATACTCGCCAGTGGAACGAAATACGATGAGTTGTCTACCATTCACAGCCTCTGGTGGGCTGTAAAGAATTGGAAAAAAACGGAAGAGGGAGAGATGTGAAGAGAGGGAGGGAAGGGGCAGGGAGAGAGGAGGATAGAGTTACACAAGAAGGCGTTTGTGTGTAAGAGAGAGATGGAGGGAGGCGTTCAGTTTGACTCTTTTCTGTCCAGTTCATTCATACAGGTAGTCAGTGTGAGGCTTAATTGATATATTCATCAAAGCTTTGGTTAATTTATTCATTGATTCCCTTTGAGTAGTCATATTGCCTTTATATTACAGCTGCTTATCCTGCGTCTGCACTGAGACACACAGCCACACAAAGTAAAGAGACTGGAGACATTTTGTGCTTTAAAGTTAGATTGTGCCATCTACTGGATAGATAACATACATACATATTTATTTTAGTGGACTGGGCAACATGGGGGCTAGGGTATCACTAACATAACTGCTGATAATATTTGGTCTTCTGCTAGCCTGTGCCAAATTGCTAAAAACCTAATAATCTGAGATATAATTAGTAAATTAAGAGCAACTTAAAAGACAAATGGAGTAGCGGTTTATGTGTTAAATATTCTTCTTGAATGTCAGTTTTTACGCTGAAGACATTGGGTTTAGGACATTTTGAGAGATGACCATTCTTGGTTCCCTTTTGGCCTCATTTTAATCAAAGCCACAAAAGGTCTGCACTTCATGCAAGTGCCATTATCATTATTAACTAATGCATAATCACACTTTGAGTCACACAGATAGCATAGTCCTCCAACCAACCCTCACCTCAAGTGTCTTTGTTCAGCCCTTTCATTCGTGTTGAGACCCCAGTAGGAGTATTTCTGATATAAAAGAGCTGTGCCCTCTGAAAAACAAGATCTATAATCACTTTGTTCCTCTTTCAATGTATTTTTAGCACTTAATCAATAAATGATGTAATGGCCTGATTTTTCTGGAACTTGATTTTTTTGGTTTTTGATCCCTGTGGACTTTTTAGTTGTTGCTTCTGGTAGGCATGACAGCGGAACAAAAAAGATTTTTAAAAATATATGGCACCAGACAAAAAGTGCAATTTTAAGTAGCTAAAATGAATCCAGTCTAAGGAAACCGTCCAGCAAGAAATCCTGCTTTAAATATTGTAAGTTTTCAAGTAGATGTAGGCGTGTAGCATGGAACAGAGGGGTGTTTTGTGATTTTTCCCTTCAATTATTTTGAGAAAATTGGATAGAAAAAAGCACAACCTGCTCTTGCTCTGACAGTTCAAAGATTTCTGTTCAGCCATAATCAGTAGAAACAAGTACTCAGAGCAGAAATCTGACTGCTCAAGTTATCATTCATCACAACCTCAAGAAGAGACTGAGATAACATAGATGTTCTTGTTCTAGCTCATTTGAAATTACTTTGTCACTGTAACATGAGTATATTTTTGCCCAACACGTGTTCTGTATCTATTGTTTGTCTTTGTATAAGTCAATCCCCTTTAATGATTTGTTAAGTAACAGCTTCTACAGCTTTATTTTTCTTTTATGATCTGTTCTTTTGTACTACGGGTTTACCTGATGGCTGCTGTTTTGTTGTTGTTTGTCAAAAGCACCTCTATTGTCCCTTTGGTGACAATAAAAGTTCTCTCATTTTGAAAGCAAAGGTAAGAAAAGCTGAGGGGTTTTATTATGCCAAGTTTAGACAAACACAATATCAGCTCGATAATGGCCCAACTTGAGAGATGTAGGGCCCTCGGCGAGAGGCAAGACAATTCTTCCCACTATTCTCACCTCACAGCATACTGAGAAATAGACTCACTTTTTTTCTACCTTTCCCTGCCCTATAAAACAACGTCTGCAATGTTGAAATGCAAATTACTATCCCAGATGCTAATATACATGGAAAAGTAAAAGATAAGCTGATGAAATTAGGATCACGCTGTTCTCTTCAGACAGCCCACAGCTATTCTTTACTTTCTGTTTTTCAATTTTAAGGCAGCCAATACTTGCCTTGAACATCATTCTTTATTTACTCTTTTGGTGAAATAAGTCGGTTTACACCCCTGCTCCAAGACATAGTCATGCCTGGATAAAGTTCACTTAGTTGGGGACCAAAGTAACTGCATCATGTCTCACAGGCAAAAATTTGTAACACATAATTTTAAATATTATAGTTATTTAATATCTGTTATAGTCAGAATATCCGATAGTTTGGTTCTATAGCACCGGTAGCATAAATAGTGCAGAGAAACACAAGTAATTTTAGGGTACTTCATGTTGCAAGTTAAAGATCCTACAATATTAGAGAGAGCCAAGCACTTTGTTACTGTGGAAAGGAAAATTTCCTTTGAACAGGAAGGAAGAGAAGACAGAAAAGGAGCATAGATATTTAAACAATCAAGACAAAGCAGGAACAGACAAAAGTTAGTGACATGCAGTAATGGCAAACAAAAGCACAGCATGCACAGAGTGAAAACAGCCATGTGACGGAGAAATGTTCAGTGCATCACGGAAAATCCCCACACCTAAGGGATGGTTCAGGGTCACCTGACCCAGCCCCAACTATAAACCTTATCAAAAAGGAAAGTTTTAAGGCTAATCTTAAAAAGTAAGAGGGTGCCTCTCTCCTAAACTTAAACTGGGAAGAAGGGCCTGAAGGTTCTGCCTCACATTCTCCTTTTAGAAATGTTTTGAAATACAAGTAAGCCTGCAGTCTGACACAGAAGACTGCAGGCTGAGATACTCAGTAAGATACATAATTTGTAAGTGACTTTAATTCAATTTTGCATTTAACAGAAAGGAAATTAGCTACATATTACAGCCCTCATATTAGGTACACCAGAGTAGTGAGTTTCAGAGATGCACAAGTGCTTTTTCTAGCACCTGTCAGTACTCTCGCTGTGGCATTGTGGATCCAATTAAGGAGTTTTAAGGAGCATTTTCGAACAACCAAATGATAAGGTATTACAATATTCCAGGCTGCACATAGCAAATGAACAACAAACAGGATGTACCCAATTTTGACAAAAATCACATAATGACAGAAACGAATCCAAGAAATTTTGCACAATGTGCAGGTTAAAGGAAACACTCTGTTCACAAATGTTGAAGTAAGTACTGAAATTTGTACGGTCAAATACGATGACTGAATGTTGTCTGAATTTACAGGCATGAAACTGCACATAATCCAGGCTGTTATGTTTTAAGACATGCCTAAGGATTTGTGCTGTTCTGTGAAGTGAGCCATAATGATAAAGGCTTTATATTCACCACATCAAGAATTTCATTTGTAGTGTCAGTTCTTCAGCATTTTTACTCAGTGACTATTGTGCAGTATTAGAGTCTGCTTTATATTATGCTGAGATTCCTCCTAATGGAAAAATCTAACAGAATTTGAGGAGAATTAATGGCAAACTGAAAGCTTAATCATTTGAACACAGAAAAAGATGACTCTGCACTATCTTCAGGTCACAAATGCAAGAAAGGGATGAGAGAGAAGGCAGACCAGGATGAACAAAAGAGCAGTTATCAAAAGCACTTGGGAGTACTTCTGGAACACTCTGAAATATTTCTTGTGATAAAGGCAAATTCTTGTAGACATTAAATTGCCTGGTATGTTAAAGTGTTTCACCTCTTAGTTATAGTAAAAGGCAAACCTGCTCCACAGTCCCAGCTGTGGGTGATAAAACTGGCATGATGCAACAAAATGGAATTTAAACTGCAGTTTTCCAACTGATATTTGTTTTGAAAGGTACATTTTTATTAGAATAATAATAATTATTCTCATTATGAGCACGTTAGCTTGGAAACTAAAAGTGAGAAAAGTTTGTACACGTCACAGGTGTTGCATTTTATCTTTATATCAAAGCACATGAACAAACCAGGACAATAGAAACTCCTTCAAACAGATTTCTGACGAGATGAAAAACAAAAAACAAAAAGAGAATGGCTCATTTATGATCAGTTAAAAGTAGCGCTGTGCTGACTCGCACTGTTGAAAGGAGCAGCTGTTCTGGGTGATTCAGAAAAAAGCTTTTGAAACAACTTTAAATGACTCCAGTCAACACGGAGCCTTTGAAAATAAGTTATTATGGCCCTGCCTGATAATGTTGTGCTAAGCAAATGTTTATCGTAAAACAAAATGTTTGCTTGCTCATATTTGTGCTGCGAGTTAAATGAAAAGATTGATAGCACTTGCTGTGATTAATGAGATGCTACTGGCAGCAAATGTTTTACTCAGCTTAATGTTAAGAATGAAAATTAAAAGAAAGCAGCCAGCACCAGTCTCTATTAAGGTAACAAAGATGCCTCTTGGTGACCATCCCCAGGTAGCCTCTGCATCTGCTGAGCTGAGCTGTCCTCGTACACCTTGAAAATAACAACACCTACATTAGAAAGCTGTTGCTCTCAGCTCTATATTCAATGCTGCCACACTGATTAGCATTCTGAGCTTGAGTGCTATTCCCTGGAATTGGTTATTGGTCTTCCTTACAAACAGACCGCACACACTTTGGGTTGGCAATCACATCTTCCCCACTCAACAGCCCCCGCGGTTTAGGTGCTCAGTTACCTCCTGTTCACGCTGCACATCAATGACTGCATGCCCAGACATGGAGAGAACACTGGGAAGTTTGCAGAAAGCATCATCATCATCAGTGATCTTTCTGTGTGATGCTGCTTAACATCAACAAAACTAAACAGGCAATCGATAAAAGGCAAAAACGGTGAAGCTGAGATGGACAGTTTTAGATTCTTGGGAATTAATTTCACAGAAAACTTGTCATGTGACCATACATCTCCACCCTGGTCGGGAAAACTCAGAATAGATAGATCATAATAGATAGAAATAGAAATTATGGGTTTTATATTATATCCGTCTGCTAGGATTGGCTGGTTAAAATCTTTATCTTAACAAGCATAAATATATACTGGAGTCTGTAACACATAACAGTGTGGGTTTAGTATTGATAGTGTTTTCTGATTTGTTTCAAATGAGCAAATATATCTCTTTTAAAATCAATATATAATAT